CCCACGCCCGACCGCAACTTTCGGTCTGGCCCCGGGCCGACGATAATCTCGTGGCGCAGCTTTGCGCGCGATCGACGACGCTCGACGACCGAGACTCTCGCCCCCTAATTTCAGATCGTTCTACAATTCTTTTCGCGGTAAAGATGATCGTTAATGATTTAGCGAGATAGGTTTTTTTGGTCACTCGAACACTCGTCGATCGTAAGTGCAACTGTCCGTCCATTGTCGTTTTGATGTACTTGAACCTTGACACGTCGATGCCCCTTAGCGACTGGGCGGTAGACATAAAAGATGGGCGATATGTCTTTTAAAGTGCGAGATAATTAAATTCTTTTTGTTGAAGTTTTACAAATTTTCAGTATAGCAAAGTTATTCTCCGAAGATCTCGCGCTTTAACTGACGTTCCATCCTTGTCCGCGACCGACACGAAGTGGACCTCCTCGAATACAAAGTATCCTCGAAGGATACCATTCGTTACCCTTTGAACTCTGTTGCTCTCCCCCCCTCCCTCTTCCCCCCGCCTCCCCTCCGATGTATTCTCGATTCTACAGCAACGAGAAGCAATAATACGACAAGCCTCTAACCTGGCGTGGTGATTTTTTTCTGTCTGTTTTGTGAACACACACACACATCGTCAAATACCAATATGCACCAAACCGCACCGAACCGCAAAACACACTTGACCGGCGCGGTCGGCGGCCACGAACGCAGATACAAAATTCTGTGCGCCAATGCCGTGCCAGAGGGTTGCGAGCCGCGAAAGGCCACCCAGATCATCCTGGACGCGATCAATCTGGAGACTGATCAGTACCGCATGGGTCACACCAAGGTATCGGACACCTGCTGTGGTCCAACGTCGTGGCAGTAGCATCACGGCGCGCAAATCCGGCTAACACGCACGAGCAGCACGAGAGGCCACGAATCCGCAGGGATACATCAGACTGTCGACCGTCGGATGTCCCGTTCGCGGATGTTTCGCGAGCTTTCGCGTTGTTTTTACGGCGCCGACGATTTAGTCGCCAACATGCAGAGACGCGGAGGAAGAGGATAAAATATTTTGATTTTCGAAAAATCTTCGACACATTTCAGAAATGTTCTTAGACGATAAAAGCTCGAGGATCGAAGCGGAAATCGATTTTAAGACTCGAAGCTTCCGGAGTTTCTGGAGTCTCGGAATATCTATGTTCTCTGGAATACACATTTTCCGAGAATGCGGGACACGTTGTTTGTATATTTATATATTTATATACGATGTGCGAGCAGTCATACTCGAAAATGTTGGCCATTAAACGTCGAAGAGTGTCAATTTAACACCGCGTGGCTTCGGCGATTAACTGTTTACAGCCTCGTTCGAGCAAATTATTAACGACGTGCTATCATCAGTCGCGCTAACAAAGGATACCTCTGCCAAATCAATTTTCAGCGTGGTGCAATCCCACGAGAAGCGTGAGGCAATATCTGTCTACCTCCTATCGTCGAATAACGACCCTTTTTCCGAGCTAAAAACGGCATGGAAGGCCAGTTTGTGAAAGTAAACGGATGTACCGCGATTATCTTCCAGTGATACCGTTAAATTGAATAAAAATTAAATCATTTATAGAGAGCTAAATTATAATATGTATTTGTATAATAATTACATATAGTTTTTAATAATAGCTTTTTTAACTTTTAATTTTTTATTCGTAACATCGATGATCTTTCGTCGGCTATGTATCTTAATTTGATTATTATATTTTTTTGAGTGTCACAAATTATTTGTCGTATATTTGAATTGGCCGTCGTCGATTTTATTATCACGTTCGATGATCGAGGTGCATCTCAAAGATTCGTTACGGCGTACAATTTCTCTCAATGTTTCACTTCCTTTTTTCCTCCGAAAAAAAAATAGGTATTCTTCCGTGCCGGAGTCCTGGGTCAGATGGAGGAGCTTCGCGACGAGCGTCTCAGCAAGATCGTGTCCTGGATGCAAGCTTACATCAGGGGTTACCTGTCCCGTAAGGACTACAAGAAACTCCAGGAGCAACGTCTGGCTCTCGTGGTTGTCCAGAGGAACCTGAGGAAGTACCTCCAACTCCGCACCTGGCCGTGGTGGAAGTTGTGGCAGAAGATCAAGCCTCTACTCAACGTCACTCGTATCGAGGACGAGATGGCCGTGAGTATTTCTCTTCGAGATCCCGTCTCGATAAATCATTTTACTTGAAAGTATTTTAAAGGTGAATTATTAAAATAATTAATTCAATAGACCGTTATTTTGCGTTCAAATTATTGCAATCTCTTCTTTAATCACTATTGTTTTTCTATTTGGCTTTTATTAAATTATGTATTTGTTTAAGTGCCGACGTTCAAAATTTTGATAAATTTGTTTAGCGTATATATTGTTGGTATATTTATCTTTCTATTTTAAGCTTTAGGAAAATGAAGTACGGTTCTCGATCAGCACCCTGCAAAGCAAATGATACAGCAAAGACAATACGGATTTTAATATTTTCTCCTACATTTCAATCATAAGCACTTCAGAGCAGAAATGTTATCTTTATCTTTTTATTTGGCATTTTTGAAATTCTGCCATTTCTTAATTTTATTTGCCGTAATTCTCAATTACGTCTTTATCTTGACTTTTGAATTAAAATTAATTAATTTTGTTTCTTTTTGAACATAATTTATAAAGTTCACTGTAGGTCCATTTTACATTCTAAGTGAACTTTATAAATTACGTCGCATCCACAATTTTATATTTTTTTCTCTGAACTCTTTGATTATCTGCGACGATGAAATTGTACTTCTCAAAGGGATCTTTAACTCGTGCACAATGACAGATTATGATTGTTAACACTCGAGCGTACGCTGCACCAGAGAAAGAAGCGAACGTTGCAAAGTGTGCAAAATGTTCATTCCGCGAAAACCGAAAGCTCGCGAAAGGCCGCGGAAACTTGGCAAAATAAAGCTCCGATTTGACGGTGATTTACGACCTGGACTTCGTGCTCAACCGTACCGTTCGGCTCGAAATCGCCAGTGGAATTTGTTTCTTCTTTTGCTCGGCCCGTAACGGCTCCAGTTTCCAGACGCACAACGTTTATTTATCCGGCGCCTGGTCTTCTCGTTTTCGCGGCTTGTTCATGCACAAATTCTCTACCAAGCTCCAAATCGGAATTTCTTCGAAATTGAACTTTTTCCACGTATTTTTTTAAACTCCCGTAATACTTTCGTAACTCGAGAATGCATCGTACATTTTTATTTCTAAACGCAGATTCCTTCAATTTCTCAAATTTTCCGAATTTATTCAAATTCCTTGAATTTGAATCCGATAAAGTCGTCACATACATCTTTGCCTTATTCATATATATTTATCAAATTTAGCTTCAAGAAAATTCTATTGAATTAATAAGAATGCGAATTTTGCCTCTGCCGTTAAATAGATTTATGTTTGTTCATTCTTCAATAGATTTACAAAAATCCATAATCACTGCATGAATTTTTCTTCTTGAATTTATGTATTAAATTTAATTCTATTGCTGTCTTTGTAAATTGATCATTTTTTAAACACATATTTGTTACAAAAAGCAAGTTTTGCCAAATCAATTATTAGTACGGTAACGTCGATCAATTATTGGTATACGCAAGGGTTTCACTTAATCGAAAAATTTTGAAAGAAATTTGTCGGTCGACCCTTTTGGAACGTCGACGCTTCTAATTCTGTCAACCTCCTGACCCCCTCCCCCTCCTCCCCCGCTCTCGAACTATCTATATTTTCGACTATATCCCAAATTAACGAGGATTAGGGGAATCCGTGCACGCTCCCGTTCTCCAGTCCAGTTCACTGATACCGCTCTGGTGTCCCAAATTAGAAGCATAATAAAGCCGGCGGTGAATCAACGTTCGATCATGTTACCGAAGCGGTTTCTTATTAATAGATTCTCGGCTCTCGGGAAAAGGATCATACAATTATGTGTCCTTCAGAGACACCCAGGAGACGTGATCCCCATATTTTTTTTGTATCGCGCTCTGACTCCTCCGGAATGTCGACGCTTCTAATTTCGTCTAGTTGTTTTTACGTCATAGTACTGACACTTGCCTGCTAGCTGATTCGGCAGTGAATCATTAATTCAAGATGCATCAACGAAATTTAATATTTCGCTCAAATTTAATATTTCGGTTCGAGGGTTTTCATGAAAAAATTTAATACCGACCTCAAATATCTTTCACTCTCTCTGAATTATTTCTACAACAGTAAAAGTTAATCTTGTACAGTCGACTGTCATTATTAATTGATTTGTGTAATAGTATCGCGATTTATAATTAAATAATAATTTCATTCTTTAATATTATTATTATTTCTTTATCTTTAATATTTTAATTCGAGTTGAAAATCTATTTTTATAAATGCATTAGTTCATATAGTATTTGTGGCAAAAATAACAAAGTATCCGCTTCACTTACATCTCTTTCTAAAAATAGAGCTTTTGGTTTTAAATAACTGTAATCACTGCACTACGACGAAGTCTAAGAAGAAAGTTCCATGAAGAAAAAGATGAGAGTACATTATCACAGATTCAAAAAAATTTTCCAAAGTTTTGCATTGCTCAAATTCGCTTCTCAGTATACGCTCCAATGTATCTTCAGATATTCGCTCACTTGAGATCGCTCACTCTTTGCGATCCACTTATCCACTTTGCACCTTGGAGCCGCCAAAAAGGGGGTGGTCGCTGGAAAGAGAGAGAGAAAGATAGAGAAAGAGAGAGAGAGAGAGAGAGAGAGAGAGGACGGCCCTTCCAGAGATCGCTTCTAATTTCGTCCAAGACCGACCCCCCTCCGCGGACATGAGCCACTCCCTGCCTCTCCCCTGCTCTCATCCCCCTGAAATGTAGTATCGGATCGGTTATAAATATTTTTACACGTACAGTGGCGATGAGGCGCCACTGGAGTGGGGACGCCCACGATCAAGATCGCCGCGGCTCGCTCCTTACTAGCTGCCGGAAACGGGCACGGGTAGAGGAACCGCGGGTGTGTGCGGGTAGAAAAGTTGGGCTTCGACCGAATCCGGGACCAGTTGGACCCGCGACCTCGCGCCGACCCCTTCGAAACTAACGCGAACCCGCTCGACGAACAAAGAGGGAGAAGCCTCGCCCTCTCGAATACGCACGCACACACATACACACACACACACACACGCACACATACACACATATATATATATATACTATATACTATATATATATATATTCACGCGGGTGTTCGAAGCCTCTCTTTGATATCTCGAGACGTAAGTAGGGACCTCGTATCCTCGAGTCCCGCGCGCTGTTTTCTTTCGTCTTCGAGCGATCATCGGAGCGGCCGATCCCGGTTAAAAGTTAAATTCGAGAGGCTTCTCGCGACGTTCGTACCTCTCGTTCGATCGACCGATTCTTCCCCGGGGATCCCTTCTCCTCTCTCTCGCTCACGCTCTCTCTCTCTCTCGGCGTAAATCCCCCGATCCCCGATTACTTACGAGATAAAGAATCGAAATCAAGTGCACTCGCGCGTGTATTCCTCGGTTTTCCTCCGAGGGTGATCAATAATGGGCGACACGGTGCTGGTCGAGAATCCGACTGCGTTGGTGAACGGCGGCAGCAAGATCGAAGGTGAAATGGCCTCGTTTCAGGCGTTGGAAGAGAAAGCCAGGAAGGCGCAGGAGGCCTTCGAGAAGGAGGAGAAGCTGCGCAAGGAGCTGGAGGACATGAATGGCAAGCTCCTCACCGAGAAGACCAATCTGTTGCGCCAGCTGGAGGGTGAGAAGGGCTCGCTCTCCGAGTTCCAGGAGAAATCGTTGAAACTAGCCGCGCAGAAGGCCGACCTCGAATCACAGCTGCAGGTGAGAATTACACTCGCATTGATTTTTTTTTTAATTTAAAATTACTAGAAATGAAAAGTTATTATTGATCGCACTTTGAAAGAATTCGCTATTGAATTTATTCGCACTAAAATATGCAATAAAGTTTACAGAAGCTCCTCTGCTAAAATTTATTAGATTCAATTATAGCGAATCTAGAAATTTTTTATTGTAAAATTGATTAGTATTAACTTACAAATTTTTATATTAAAACTAATTTACTTCTTATAAAATTGTTAATTTATTGTTATAAAAATTTTAATTTATATCAAGGAAAGATCGAAAAGCTTCGGGATATAAGTTACGGTTTCAAAAGCACGATATTTCTTTTTTATGATATCTTCGGTTCTCTTATAATCTTCGGCAGCCAATTGAAAACAAAGCGATAATATGCATTTTCTAAATTAAAAAATATATATTCTATTGGAAATTATTAACAATAATGACAATAATTTCGTTTTTGCTACCATTGACATGGAAGCGCGTAATTATATGAGTCAGAATGGGGATAGAAACAACGCTAACGCTGAAAGAATTCCTCATCAAAGTTATCAAGATAGCGGAGACCGAATCGACGATAAAAATCGCGATATGAAATCATTTTCGACTATTTGGCGCAAGCTGCGAGTCACTCAACTGCGAAGGGCAGAAAGTAATATAATTAGCGGCGTAATTAGCACAGTGGCGCAAGCCGCGCGCGAGTCGATGTCGAAGGGCGAGAAGCCATATAATTAGCATCATCGCGCTCATAGAACTATAATTTGTTTGGTAACATTTATTGATCATGCTCGACTAAACTTCTAAATTAAATTAAAATGTATATTAGGTATCTCAATATATTAATAGCAATATTTGACAAAATATAATATTAGAATAAACGAAACAAATAAATGAGCTTACAACAGCAAAAATCTAAAACTTCATTTTGACGAGAATTTAAAAAAAAAATTTGAATTCTTTCTCATTCTTGTCATCGAAATTATGTCGCGTCGCATCGTCGCGAATTGCTCGCGGATTTTCCGACTTCACGGCAGTAGTGCAGCGACAGAACAGCTCTTCGCGAGAAGATAAAGAAGGAACGCGGATTTAAGCCGGGGTGACATTAACTGTCGGCGGGCAGGGGGATTTTTGTGATTTAAATCGCGGCTCGAGTTACGCGCGGCGCGCGAATTTCGTAAGCGAGCGCGAGCGCGTAGCGACAAAGTAGCGGAGGCGCGGAATTAGTCAGACGCGCTATTTTTCTTCGAGCCCGAGCGTGGCGCGGACGACAACTCATCCGGTTACGCGGTCGACGCTTATATATTCGGCCATATCGCGCTGCTAAAATTACGGTGCACGCACCCTGTGTGCATACGTTGCGCGCAACCTTGTTACATCTTTTCCCCGATTTAACGTCACCCACGGATGATGTTCTCCGTGAGACTCCAGCCGCGCGCGTTGCTTCCCGGCACGTTTTCTCGTGCTTCTTCGAAGAGAAGCATTTATAACATTTCCTTTGAATGGTAAAGCAAAATTAATAATAAACGATTTTAATGGACAGATTTTAATAAACACATTCTTTTTACGATATTTTTAAGATCTATTTTTCAAAATTGTTAAGAAAAAAGAAATCTAAAAAAAACACAGATATTTTATATAAGAAATAATTATCAGGCTCTGAATATGATCTGTCATAATTATAATTGTGCCAAAGGTAATAGCTGTCAAGTTATTATTAATAAGATTTTTATTATTAATCATTTTTTCATCTCTTATTTTTTCAGAAAGCTCATTCTCTAATATATAAAATATCTATTAAAAATATAATAAAATATATCTACTAATAATTTCGCGATCATCACGTTTCTTTACAATTGTTTCGTTTCAATGTCCCGTTTTTCTTTGTAACAGCATGGAACAGTTTTTTCGAAATTACTTCACAAACTCGTCGCAATGTCCTCGAAATTTCCTCGCATTTCGCTCTGTACAATCGCCGTTTCTCACAATAGTCTCGCCGTCGTCGTAAATATTTGCCGGTGGAATCTGAGAGTCGTCGAAATTTCGGACGAACGTATCAGTATGTTGAACACTAGTATTTTTATCCGGTTGTTAAGCGGGCGCGAAAACACGCGCTGGAGAAAAAGCAACGGTAATAAACTTCTCGAAGGCGTCGCGCTCGCAGAAAATAGACGTTTCGTGATCGCGACTAGAATTCCAGATTTTCTCTGTCTTTCTCTCCCTCTTTCTTTCCAACTGGATTCCAGACTGACTATTTTTACCAGTACTTTTTAAACACCCACTTAAAACCGCGGCTACTCGTCATCGCTTGTCGTCGTGACGCTCTCCGACGCCCGTCATCGGCTCGTAATCATTTACCGTTCCTTGTTCTCCAACGTGCAACTTGATACTCGAGTCCGTCTTGGTGGAGTTAGAATAGAAACGACGGATTTTAAATAAAACGTGCGACATACTGAAAAATCAAAGATATAAGGAAATATTTATTAAGTAAAAAGCATAAGTTCTAAATTAATAGGTTGTTGACTGGCAAAATATGAAAGGTGAAGTAACGATGAAGTAATGATGTTATAACGTTCGTAAATCACTTTGCAGATTTAGACGAATCGAGTGAATTTTATATAATCACCTTTTTTCGTAAAGAAGAAATTTGAGAGAGTCTTGTATTTGCAACTTTTAATTATATATTTATCGAGGAATTATCAGTAATACCGAGGCTTTAATAATAAACATTTTTCATTTATTTATAATTACTCTTGCTTTATTTAACTTTCGTTTTATGCGGTTTTTGTTTCACTTTTAATTAATTTTTACCTATACACTTTCAATCGTTATTATCGTAATTGCCTTAATCATAATTTTCATATCTTCGATTTAATCTCTAATTCCACCAAATCGCAATGGCCATCAAAAGCGGCTCTTAGCTCGTTAAGTGAGCTAATATCGCGATCGCGAGGTGCGCCTATTAAAAGCTGTCGCATCGAGCGCATCGCGATTGGCTCGGCCGGTGTCGAGAGAGCGATCCTCTCGCGATTAAAAGCGACCGGAAGACCGCGGCTGGCATCGACGTTAAACGTCACCATTTACGGTCAGGTCGATGATAGGAAGAAGGAAGAAGGAAGACGGGAAGAGAGAACGGGGTGGAAAAAGAAAGAGGGATAAAGAGAGCGAGTGAGCGAGCGAGTGAGGGCGACGGCAACAAATTTAGCAGATCCCAGATTCCAGGTTATTAAAAGTGGGCGGCGGTTTTAAGCTCGCTGGAGCGGAGGCGAGAGAAAACGAAGGAGGTAACAGGTGTAGAGTGTATTTATATGCCGTCATATACCGCGCGTGCTTGCGCGTGCACGCGTGCGTCATAGTCATACAGCCGTATCTCCTTCGCGGCCTCTTCATCATCGCCGACGAGACCATGTCGTTTCTTCGGCTGTCGCCACCGATTTTTCCACCTCGTCTTCCACCTGCTCGGGATATGATCTCGAGGTGCACTAAACCGCTGCGCCAGATTATCCCAGTTGGAAAGGCAGAGATGTTTCTGGTTTCAATATTGTTCATCTATCCATTTTCATCTTTCCTCTTTTCTGTGCTCTTCATTTTAGCGAATCTGTTTGTCGGATTTTTACTTTATTAATTATATGATTGTTTTATTTTTCTCTCAAAACATTTATTTTTATTTGAATATTTAATTGATAGGAAGATTGACTTCCGCATTATTGTACCTTTCTGTTTTTCTCTCTTTCTCTCTTCCGCGTTTTTCGCCCGTTTTTTCGCTTGCGCTGTCGAATCTTCTAAAATATTCTCTGCATAAGTAACGCAAAAATTTCGAACTTTTCTGTTCGGCAAATATAGACCCGGGTCGCCGAATCCGAACGGAGCGCGCGATGAAGAGATAAACGTGATGAACGGGGAGATTGATCGCGCCGGCCGGGCGAGATGTTGTGCCAATATTCTTTGCCCCCGCATTAACTAATATTAGGCGCCCGTGCGTGCGGGCCGCCCCGTAATTGCGCGTCAATGCCAATTAATCGCGTGGCCGTGCCGGAGAGGAAAAGAGATGCGTTTGACATTCTCGACGAGGGACTTGGCGCGCGCCAAAGGATACTCCAGCAAGAGATAAATTCCACGTGCGGACCTGTCATCGACCCAAATACCTCTTCGGCAAACAAGATTCTGGAGATTATGTCATTTTAAAAAAAGGAGATTTAAATTAATACCGAGCCGCAATTTAAACCGCTCGCATGCGTTCACGAAATACGCTAAGAATATTTTATAGCAAACGTAAACAAGATTTTAAATGAGTTATATAATGAACATATGATAAACAATATTAAACAAGTTGAAAATAAAATAAAATATGAAAAGTAGATGTAGCAATAATAGTGTTAAAATAAACATAGGTAAAGTGAAATATTAATAAGATATTAGTTGAGTTTTTCGAACAAAATAAAGAAAGATATAATGTCAAAAATAATAAAAACAAGAAAGATAGAAAATTGAATAACGAGAAAGCCAATAATATGTTATATAATATTAAATAATAAAAAAATAAAATAAATAAAATAGCATTTAAATAAAATATTAATGACTAAAATTTTGAAATATCAACGAATAATAATTGGAATTCTTTAAGAGACACGATCATATATGTAGAATTTTCTGGCGAAATAACCTGCTCTTTTCGTTTTCAAAGAAACATTGTCGATACTTATCCAGTTTTTTTTGCATAGGACCTCACCGACAGATTCAAGGAAGAGGAGGACTCGAGGAACAATCTCTTCCAGAACAAAAAGAAACTCGAACAAGAGGTATCCGGTTTGAAGAAGGATATCGAGGATCTCGAATTGAATTTGCAAAAGTCCGAGCAGGACAAGGCGACGAAGGATCATCAAATCAGAAACTTAAACGATGAAATCGCCCACCAGGACGAGCTCATTAATAAGCTCAACAAGGAAAAGAAGAACCAGGGTGAAGTTAACCAGAAGACCGGCGAGGAGCTCCAGGCCGCCGAGGACAAAGTCAACCACCTCAACAAAGTCAAGCTCAAGCTCGAGCAGACGCTCGACGAGCTTGAAGACTCCCTCGAGCGTGAGAAGAAGTCACGGTAAGTAAATTTGACGTTCGTTTGATTATTTAAGATTATAATTTGATTATGTAAGATTAAACTTCAAGAACTATAGCGACTCAATTATAATTTTTTTTATTTTTCAATTAAAAAAAAAAATTTTTAGAAAAGAGAATAGATTGAAATTGGTTACTCTAATTAATGTGTTTTTTCCCGAAATTAATTCTATATAATAGTATAAATACATAATACACTTTTAGAAATAATTTAGAAATAAAAGGAAATATTGAGAATGTTTATACAACGTATTAAATTTCAATTTGCAGTGCCGACGTAGAGAAGGCAAAGAGGAAGGTGGAGGGCGACTTGAAGCTCACGCAGGAAGCCGTTGCCGACCTCGAGAGAAACAAGAAGGAACTCGAACAGACCATTCAACGCAAAGACAAGGAACTCTCATCTCTTACTGCCAAACTTGAAGACGAACAATCCTTAGTCGGCAAACTGCAGAAGCAGATTAAGGAACTGCAGGCCCGCATCGAGGAACTCGAGGAAGAGGTTTGTATAACGAAATCAATCAAGAAAACATATTCTTCCCTCAAAATGTTCAGCCTGAAAAAAAAAGGAATTAAGAAACATTTCAATTTGTGAAAATGTTTGAAATTGACGTTATTAATTAATTTTGAAAATCGATTAAAAAACGCCAATTAGAATTTGATAATAAAAGTAGATTGATTACTGATGGCATAATAACGTGTATGTGTATCTTCAAGATTGAGGCGGAACGCGGCGGACGCGCCAAGGCCGAGAAGCAACGCAGCGATCTCGCCCGCGAGCTCGAAGAGCTTGGCGAACGCCTGGAGGAGGCCGGCGGTGCCACTTCCGCGCAAATCGAGCTGAACAAGAAGCGAGAGGCCGAGCTCAGCAAGCTCCGCAGGGACCTCGAGGAGGCCAACATCCAACACGAGTCCTCGCTGGCCATCTTGCGCAAGAAGCACAACGATGCCGTGGCCGAGATGGGCGAGCAAATCGACACCCTCAACAAACTTAAGGCTAGGTGAGTTTGCAAAGCTGATGTTTCTTTCTCAACAAAGAAAAACGATAGAACTTGAATAATGGAAAAAACAATTTTTTTTTAATTTAATATTGAAAGAAAAATAGGGGCTAAAGCAGTTGGAGAATTTTATTAAGAATCGCTATAAAAAGATTAACTCTCCGATTTAAAAATTTATTAGTCATCGAAGATGAGAAATAATTGTATGGCGCTAAGATAAATTTGAAAAGATTAGATGCGAGTTTCAATTTTTCAATATCAACAGCTGTTGACTTTTGTTGAAAAAAAAAAGAGAAAATGGTAAAGCAACACGACTATAACGTAAAATTTCGTAGAGCCGAAAAGGGCCGACATGACATCCACTCCGAGCTGAACGGTTCGCGCGCACTTACGGATCAGGTCTCTCGGGAGAAGGTACTTGAAAAAAAAAGAGAGGAATGATAGGAGTGTTTCTCATGCATCTTTCAAAAGTAGTTTCGAAACCCTGTGCATTGTTAATATAACCTTCGATAATTCCTTCGATCCGTAAAAAACATGTGATTACCAGAATGAAGTTACCCCGAAGAAATATATACATTTATGTAAAGTCTTGTTGCTCGAAATGTTATGCTGTGTCAAAAATGCTGGATTAAATAACCTTGCTTTGCAAAAAAAAAAAAATTGATCAATATTCTTTAGTTTTAATCAAATAAAATAATAAAATTAAAATGTGCATTGTTACATTTTTAATTAATTTTTTAAATTCTAATTGAATTAAATCAATTTTAATTTCCTATTTCAATTCAATTTTGAAATAAAATTCTGTAATGATATTTAAATTATTTCTTATTCATCTTGCCAATGAAGTTACATATATTGTGATTATTGATCGTGCAAAGAATTTATCATGAATAGTGAGGTTGTTTAATCTGGCATTGCGGAATGCAAATCGTCATTCGTGCCATCATTCATCTATAATCCCTTCAACTGTTTCCGTATCCGATCAGGGTTGAGAAGGAGAAGGTGCAGTACTATAGCGAGTTGAACGACTTGCGCACGTCCTGTGACCACCTGAGCAATGAGAAGGTAAATTCAATACCGGTCCACGTTAATAATACCCGGACTAACGCGACTAACAGCTTTCGCTAGGTACAGAGACGCAGAAACAGATCTATATGGATTCCCTTCTTCTCAGGATTATTCACGAATCATTTATCTGAAGAGTGAGTCGATAATCCCTTGCTTGCTCAGCATTGCTTCCGTATGTGTGCCTATTAAATTAAATGTCTTGAGTTCGTTTCGACGATCTTTTCTTAATAATATACGTTATTGTGATAAGAAATTGAAATAACAAACTTTAGAGATATGAAAGATATTTTTTAAATGTAATCCAGAATAATTTAGTTATTTTTGTCTACATTATGTCGATTTATTTAATTTATATAGTGTTGCATCTATCTTTAATTCATAATGACGTTTCGTATTTATCAGAAGGAACATATCTGAAGAGATCGACGAAAAATTTAATAATATTTTTAATTTTTCAATTATAATTATTGAAAAGACGAGCTCTGTATAAAGATACTCGCATTGACTCGATTGATATAATTTTCTTCGAAATTCAGGCCGCCCAAGAGAAGATCGTCAAGCAGCTGCAGCACCAGTTGAACGAGACCCAGGGCAAACTTGAGGAAGTGAACCGCACTCTGAACGACTTCGATGCCGCGAAGAAGAAGCTGTCGATCGAGAACAGCGACCTGCTGCGCCAACTGGAGGAGGCCGAGTCGCAGGTCAGCCAGCTGTCTAAGATCAAGATCTCGCTCACCACACAACTGGAGGATACGAAGAGGCTCGCGGACGAGGAGTCGCGCGAGCGCGCCACCTTGCTCGGCAAGTTCCGCAATCTGGAGCACGATCTGGACAACATCCGCGAACAAGTGGAGGAGGAGGCCGAGGGTAAGGCCGATCTTCAGCGTCAGCTCAGCAAGGCGAACGCCGAGGCGCAGCTCTGGCGCACGAAGTACGAGTCCGAGGGCGTGGCCCGGGCTGAGGAGCTTGAGGAGGCGAAGAGAAAGCTGCAAGCCAGGCTGGCCGAGGCCGAGGAGACCATCGAGTCTCTCAACCAGAAGGTCATCGCTCTGGAAAAGACCAAGCAACGGCTGTCCACCGAGGTGGAGGATCTGCAAATCGAAGTGGATCGCGCCACCGCCATCGCCAACGCTGCCGAAAAGAAACAGAAGGCCTTCGACAAGATCATCGGGGAATGGAAGCTCAAGGTCGACGATCTCGCCGCCGAGCTGGATGCTAGTCAGAAGGAATGCCGTAACTACAGTACCGAGCTCTTCAGGCTCAGAGGTGAGAGAAAATTAGTGAATATTTTTGTTTTGTATTTGTCAATATATATATATAATTAATTATATTACTGCTACCTAATTACGCAATTAATTCTTGATTCTTGATGTTTGATTGATCAGGCGCATACGAGGAAGGCCAGGAACAGTTGGAGGCAGTGCGTCGCGAGAACAAGAACCTCGCCGACGAGGTGAAAGACTTGCTGGACCAGATCGGCGAGGGTGGCCGCAATATTCACGAGATCGAAAAGGCCAGGAAGCGCTTGGAGGCTGAGAAGGACGAGCTTCAGGCAGCCCTGGAAGAAGCCGAAGCTGCTCTCGAGCAGGAAGAGAACAAAGTGCTGCGCAGCCAGCTTGAGCTTAGCCAGGTCAGACAGGAGATCGATCGCCGCATTCAGGAGAAAGAGGAGGAATTCGAGAACACCAGGAAGAATCACCAGCGCGCCCTCGACTCCATGCAAGCTTCCCTCGAAGCAGAAGCCAAGGTGAGTGTTGTGTCGTATTTTTGAAAAATCTATTTCTTGTTCTTCAAAGCTGAACAATTTTACGCACAGGCAATAAGTTATATTAGTTACAATAATAACTTGGACATGTCTGATCTTGGAGTACAATTCGATTCTCAGGGCAAAGCTGAGGCGCTGCGCATGAAGAAGAAACTGGAGGCGGACATCAACGAATTAGAAATCGCGTTGGACCACGCGAACAAGGCGAACGCCGAGGCGCAGAAGAACATCAAGCGATACCAGCAACAGCTCAAGGACGTGCAGACCGCGCTCGAGGAGGAGCAGAGAGCACGCGACGAGGCCCGCGAACTCCTCGGCATCTCGGAGCGCCGCGCCAACGCTCTGCAGAACGAGCTCGAGGAAAGCCGCACTCTCCTGGAACAGGCGGACCGTGGTCGTCGCCAGGCCGAGCAGGAACTCGCCGACTGCCACGAACAGCTGAACGAACTGAGCGCCCAGAACGCCTCCATTTCTGGCGCCAAAAGGAAACTCGAGGCCGAGCTGCAGACCCTCCACGTAAGTTTTCGATCAGTTTTCGATAGAGCGTTTCTTAAAAGGGATAAGCGGATTGCATAGATTACCTTTCCCTTTCCCGTTAGTCCGACTTGGACGAGCTGCTGAACGAGGCGAAGAATTCGGAGGAGAAGGCGAAGAAGGCGATGGTGGACGCGGCCAGATTGGCCGACGAGCTGCGCGCCGAGCAAGATCACGCCCAGACTCAGGAGAAGCTGCGCAAGGCCCTGGAGACGCAGATCAAGGAGCTGCAGGTGCGCCTGGATGAGGCCGAGGCGAATGCCCTCAAGGGCGGCAAGAAGGCAATCCAGAAGCTGGAACAGCGCGTGCGCGAGCTGGAGAACGAGCTGGATGGCGAACAAAGGAGACACGCCGACGCCCAGAAGAACTTGCGCAAGTCCGAGCGTCGCATCAAGGAGCTGAGCTTCCAGGTAGAATCTCGATTTATTAAATCTATTCGAAACAGAAAATCTAATCTTACGCGTATTTAGTTTTTACAAAATAACTTAATATTTTTATAATCAATACGAGAGATAATATTTATCAGATTAACGTTTATCGCGAGATATTGAATTTTTACCTCTTATTTTTAAATTTAATTATTTTTTTATTCATTTTATTTGATTTTATCAATTTGATTTATTTACCGATAAAAGAGATTTATATACTGAAGTGGCTGTTTCCCATTCTCGTTTCCAGGCGGACGAGGATCGTAAGAATCACGAGCGCATGCAGGATCTGGTCGACAAGCTTCAACAGAAGATTAAGACGTACAAGAGGCAGATCGAAGAGGCGGAGGAGATCGCCGCGCTGAATCTCGCCAAGTTCCGCAAGGCGCAACAAGAGCTCGAGGAGGCCGAGGAGAGGGCGGACCTCGCCGAGCAGGCGATCACCAAGTTCCGCACCAAGGGACGCGGCGGAAGTGCCGCACGTGGACTCAGCCCAGCGGTAAGCTATTAAACCGTGGCAGCCTCATCCGCTATCTGTGAATTTAATCTTTAATTCGCGATGTCGGAACTGCAATGCCTTTCACGAATATCTATTGCATAGATATCTAATTTCATGGATATAGTATTGCGAACTTGAAAAAAAACAGTACTATTGCGAATTAAAGATTAACATGAATTGACATCGTTTTGAAAGATTTCGATCAATTGTTTTTTCCTCCCGATAATTTGATAATAAAATTAGATTCTTAATAATATAATAAAGTAATATAGGTATATTTATTTAATCATCCAAAAAATAGCCTTTAATTAATTTTAAGTGATATGAATGTTTACAATATTAATTATTTAATTTAGTATAAATATATTTTATTTATTAATTTCATATTGTTATAACTTTAATCAAAAGAGTTTTTAATTTAGCGATCTTGCATCTTTATATTGTAAATTCGTATACGAAGTATACATCTTGCCAGATTGAGAAATACTCCAGGTATCAGCTAGGCAATTACGAAGAAAAAAGTAAATTCTCATCGCGAAGATCATTAAAAGTTGATCGCGCTTGTATTAATATTGGATTGATCGCGTAAGATGGGCTCGGTGAATGCAAATATATCGATCGAATGGTTAAACGGAGAAAAATAATTTGCTAGCACAGCAGATTTTATGCAGCTGTTGTAGCAAATTTTGTCAGTTATTATCTGGACAGCAAAAGAGATTAAATATACAAATTGCTATTTGCTAGATATGATTTTGCTAAAACTACAAATTATTTTGCTGTAAGAAATAATTTTTAGTTCAATTGTCTTTTTACTGCATTAGTGATACATTTTGTTACATGAGCAAAGTACATTTGCAGTACTTAAAAGATAATTTGTTTAGTGAGCAATTAATTTGACTAAATGAGCGAATGAAATTTGTTATTATAGCAAGACACGTTTGCTGAATCAATCTCTTAATCGCTCTCTCATATTAATGTTTTTCAATGCAATCTCAATGAATGCAATTTCATCAATGTCCTGTTCCATGTAATAAATATTTTCGTGTATTTTAATACGTATTACCATTTCTTTTATCATATCATATTTATTTTAATGATATCAATTTAATTAAAACGAATATGTGACATGATAAAAAATGGTAATATGTATTTAAAAACTGAGCGGAAAATCTTAATAAATGCGCCTTTTATTCCATTCTTTGCGGTTTTTTATTTACGAGAAGTAGAACATTCCCGTATTCATCTAGTGACGGTGCCGCATACTGCTCGCAATCAAAATCAGTTGTGTCAACTAAACTTGGTAGCTACCATTATAAATATTCAGTAGCAATAGCTATAACAGCAAAATTATTTTTTTACGTGCAGTAATGATTTTACTCCGCTAGCCAAAGTATTTGTTAACAATACATTATTTTGCTTAAACAGCAAATCAACGTGATTTTAAAGACAAATATACAAAATTGTTTTTATTCTAGCAACAAAACAGATTTTGTCCTAATAACGAATAATTTTAAAAATTAATTGGGTCAACGAAATTTTGTCGCTGCCATTACGAATATATATGTGTAGCAGCAATTGACAGTTTTGCTACAATAGCAAAATTATTCTTCTCCGTGTTATTGGGATTAAGGGGGAACAGATCGAGGTTGATGGTGTCTAATTAGCGATCTGTGTCTTCCTGTGTGCAGCCGCAACAGAAACGTAAGGTGCCCTCCGTGATGGAGTAGACGCACACACACCGCGCTTGGTCCATGTAAGTCCGTGCACGTGAGGTGTCTCGTATAAGCGCGTGGGGTGTGTGACGATTACTTAGAAAGAGAAGAAACTATAGTTGGCTGAATAGCTATAGAGAGAGAAAGAGAGAGAGAAAGTGAGGGAGAGAGTGATTAGAATTTTATACGAGTAGGAGTTTGCGAAACGCGAGAGGAACACGCGCGATAGAGACTCCCTCTTGCATCCGTCACTGTCTCGTTTGCACCTGTGTGTTCGATAACCACTCTCTCGGGTGGGCCCGAGCTTGCTCTTCGTTTATTAACTCTATGTAACTCGCACACCTATTGTCCTTTTATTCTGTACAGTATTCACTTGCGAGTTGGTAGAAGCCGTTATAGACGCCGTTAGAAATTAGAGCACAGTTTAGAGGCTGAGCAACGGTTGCGTGTGAAAAAGTAGCCAATGGAATCAACTAGCCAATATATTTAAGAAATAAATTCAATCGGATTGTGTATTTATTAAATATTGATTGAATTGATAATTGAATGAAAAGTTAAATAGACAAAGATATATTTAATGCTTCTAGACATATAGATAAATTAAAAAATTTAATTTCTAAGGTGTAAAATTATTATTATTAAACTAGTTGCAAGGCATTATATTTAGAGCATTTCGATAATTTAATACAACAAAATTGGAAATTTCTTTTTATGAATGATTTTCTGCGAGATTATTTGCAAAAAGGTTTTTATTTATTACTTTATTTTACTGAAGTTTATTCAAAAAGATGTTGGTTGTTCATACCGATTTCATATTCTCGTGATTTATTTCTCGTGGTTTATAAGTTTCTTTTATTCGCTCTGATTAGAGCCAGGCTTCCGTTTATTTGATTTTTTTTAAATCCAGGTAGGTTTCTCCAGTTTCCTCATCGATGTACGTATATATCGTCATTGTTCTTTAAATTGTATCGTATTTAACAGTACGCGGACAGTTCGTTATCAACAAGAACTGCGATTTAATTTCGATTTTCTTCAAAAAGAAGAAGATTGTAACTAATACTCACGAGTTACGAGTGTCTGAGATAAATCTCCCCTTTCTAAAAAAATGTCGCGTTTATCGCGCGGCAAAATAGAGGTGTCACGACCCTCGGTGCGTCATCGCGATCCCATGCTCACGCATTTCGAGGGTAGGGGGCAAGAAAAACGAGAGAAAGTTGGATCATGATCATCAGGAACGACACAGAGAAACGTGTCGCACTCGCCCGTTCACCGCTCTTCTTTCCTTTTTAAACCTACTTAAACTTATTTGTGAAAAATTTTGTATTTATTAAAATCCGCGCGATTATCTCGTATTTATGTACATGTATCTGTGACTCGCAAGAGATTCACGCTACGTATCTCTCTTCTTTTTCAGCCACACCGACCTATGATAAAACCCGAATTCGATGGTGTCCCATTCCCTCGCCGTTTTCCCGGCTTCGACATGCCCGATGGTGAACTGTAAAGCTCCTTCCGAGGTTCGCGTAAATAATTAGTATAAAAACAACCAAAAAAAGTAAAAAATTCAACATCAAAAAACATCCGGAGAATAAGAAAAAGAGTAAGAGGAGGAGGAGGAAGAGAAGGAGGAGAAACAGAAAGATCATCATTGTTCTCGAGTCCATCATCGAACGAAGACTACGAAAAATATATACATGCAACGAATCCGAGAGAGCTCGCTCGGAGCTCTCAACGTCATCTCGCAATCGAGAGCGATCGATCAATATCATCACATTCGGATCACGAAATTCTCGTCATCTTTCTCGTTAAGTAATAATTTTTTTTCTCTGTTCAATCGGCGATTTCTGTATATAAGAAGAAGCGAAAAATCGGCGCTTGCTCGAGACGGAGACAATCGGGAGGTGAGAGTAAGAGGAGAAAGGCGAGGGTGCGTTTCTTCACCACTCGAGCTAATAGTCGAGAGAGGGAGAAAAGTGGGAGAGATTAGGAGAGTGAGAGTGAGTGAGCGAAAGAGAGAGAGAGAGAGAGAGAGAGAAAGGAAGATCGAGCGAGAAGTCACGCGGGCGGACGATGAGAGGGCGAGAGCCAGCGCGACAGATATATTAATACTTACACACACACATATACACAGAAGACGAAACGATGGGAAAGGGGAAGGGGGAGGGAACTAGAGCGACGAATATACACGTATACGTTTACGCTCTCGCGAGTTGCATAACACGTAGTGAGCAAGAAGTCGAGCGCGAAAATGAATACAATATTGATAGAAGAAGTGAAGAATTCACTCGCGGGAAGGGATGGGAGATTGGGGGGGGGGGGCAGAACGAAGAAGCAAGTTGTTACAAATGATTATTTGATCAACAGCGCGTATCATTACACGTGTCATCCGAATGATATCGTATCTTATAAAGTTAATTTATAAAGAGAGATGAAGTATGTATTTAAAGTAAATAAAAAATAAATAAGACAAGAGCTAAGTCGCCCCGATCACTCGATTGTACAAAATCCAGGGAATTCCAGGATAAGAATTCGTTACACGTCGCACCGAATTCTCGTCACAAACGGGAAGGAATCACTTAGTTGTTCAATTGTTAGATCAATTTATTGTACATACAATATAACGCAGTCATGTGAAATATTTGTGCGGAAACTAATTTTCAGCTTTAACGGTGCAAGTATTTCGCATTGGTGATAACTGATAACCCCGTGAAATTTCTCGTTTCCTCGAAGTGATATAGAATGATGATTGTCAATTTATTTGTCCACTTTACATATGTCCAGATTCGATTTTCAGTTCAACCCTTAAAACTTATTTCAACAAACGCGTGTAATTTAATAAGTTTCTTTATTTATCTCGTTTATTATATCTCATCGCCATTCGCCCGAGGTGCTTATGCCTACGTCACAGATTGACGCGTAAGAAATTTAATGCGAATAACAATTCAATCCGCGATCGGATACGCCGTTTCGTATCGAGCGCTATCGCTGGTTCTTCTTCACGTCAGTTCGCGTGAGCTGCCTGAATTGCCCCTTCAGAAGCTCCCACTGCGACCACTTGTCCGAGCTGACGTGGAATTCCTCGCACGTCTGCAGGAAGGCGGGCACGCATAATTCCAGGTAGTGACGGTCCACGATGGGTAGCAGATGGTGCAACGAGTGCGAGCCGAAGTTCGTGAGCGCCAGGATGAGCGAGTCGTCGATCACCTCGCGATCGCGCACCGCGTCCATTTCGAGCAGGCCCCAGTCCATGTCATTCCTTGGAGAAAATTAGAGAGATTACGAAAGATTTACTAATCCCTTCGAGAAGAAAAATATCTTGTTGTCGAGAAATTAAAATTACGTTGAGATAAAAATTGGGATTAATATAACCAGGCAGAGTTAAAAATTAAAATTGAAACCGACGAATTAAAGATGATATTAAAATCATATGAAACTTAAGTTGAGATTGAATTAATGCTAAGTTTGAAACTAAATCAATAGTCTCTTTATTTTTTTTTCTTTAATTAAATTACTTTAAATTTTTTTTTAATTGGAGGAAAACAAAACAATCCAGACCTGATTGATTCAAAGCATAGATACGATTTAAAAATGATTCAGTAATTTAAGGGATATGCGAACGATGTGCAACCTGTAAATATCGCCGTCGTGGAAGATGTCGGGATGATGATGGGCTGCGTTGAAGGCGATCAAGCCGAATAGAGCGCTACTAATCAGCAGCATTATCAGCCACAATTTAAGGGCAATAAGAATCTTGGGTGCCATAAAACACATCGATATTGGTAGCAAGAGCGGCACGAAATCGCGAAATTCGAAGACTCCGTACTCCTTGTACACTAAGTAGTATCTAAAAATAATCAAATCTCTTTTAGCGCGAGAAACGTGCGGAGGTGGAAATCCATTCGGCAAATTTCTTTATGTCGACAAAACGCGGAATCAGAATTAAGTGTCAGCAGATTTTTAATTTAAATTATGAATCGCAAGTAGGTATACAAAGCAAAAAGCCTATCTGTTAAGGTTATCGAAAAAAATGTAGAATGATTCTGTTATCGTTTCAAGCCTTCGGTAACGAACAGCAATATCCAGACTATGGGACTGATAATCTTGCTTATCATTCCCGCTAAGTAGGACTTATCCTTCCGAGGCATCCACTGCAGAAACGGCTCGACCACGTACATCTCATAATCCCACATGGTGTTGGTGTACATGTGGTGGCTCATTACGTGCGTGATGCGCCAATTTTTCGATGATACCATACTGAGATCAAAGTAATACATACGAAAATTGTCTCGCATGTGGAAATAGTTGTGTGTCGCGACAGTGGTCCATGTCAAAAAAACGTCTAGAATTATCATCGAACAAAACAATCGATTAATACGTTCCCGCTTAACGCGTAATCAACATAAAGCTAATTAATTAATAAATTATATGTATATATATATACGTCTATTTGTATAAAACCCATCATTATTTTTAGTATATTTTTCACACTGTTGTTACATTTTTATTATTGTTATTAAATGTATCTATAATCGTACTCTCTAAAAGTGAATCATCACTGATTTTCAGTGTATATTATTTTCCAGTGGCATACTTACAACAGAACTGTAATAGTATATACATACAAGTATATGTATATACATATTTCAATATTCTTCTAGAGATAATATATACAGATTCAGTCAGTGAATATCATTGAAAGACAATGAATTTTACTTTCAAACAGTTTTGAAACTGAAATTCACTGTTTTTCAATGATATTTACTGTTTGAAGTATATTATCTCCAGGGTTGGGTAAGTTAATAATATTTTTAACCTTTAAATTAAGTTAAATTTAACTTATAAAATTAATTTAGTTAAGTTAAAAGTTGCACAAAAAGCTAACTCAATTAAGAGTTGTATTATAATTAAATTTAATTAGTTAAATTAAAATTTAATTTTAAAAAACATTATTTATATTAAATTAGAATGTTATAATTTTTAAAATGAGATTACTTTAAATAAGAAACAATTACAATATAAATGATCAAATAAATTTAAGATTTTATTTGTAAATTAAGTTTACATGAAATAACAAGAAAATATTATCTTTGTATAAAAATATTTTTTTTTAAACAAGTCAATGTTTAATTTAGAAAAAAATTAGTAAGTTAAAGTTTATATCATATATGTTTAAATCTAATTAAAGTTAATAGTTTACTTGTTTAAAATTAACTTATAAGATAAGTTAAAAGTTATTAACTATTTAACTTTATTATTTAACTTCTATTTTTTTAACTACTTGTTAACTACCCAACCCTGAATTTATCACTGCAGAAATAACATTTAGATACTCACTGTTTATCACAGTTCTACGTATACATATGCCACTGGAAAGTGATATATATACACTGGAAATCAGTGATATATATACACTGGAAATGATTCTACTGATTCACTTTTAGATATCTTATAGTTAGTTTATAATTTATATAACTTCCGTTCTTTATATCTAATCAGTTATATCTAATCAATATCTCAATTATAAATAACTTCACGGATGCTCACTAGCAAGGACAGTAATCAGATAAGAGTGGACGAGGGCGGCGGTGAGACTTAGCGCAAAAGTCGCGGTCGTCAAGAAATCCATGATAAGATTCGTCGTCGTGGACGGTTTATGAAAGTCGACGTTCTTCAAAGCCTCGACCGCGCGTCTCTTGAATGTACGATAGAAGCCGTCCGGCAAGAAGGTCAAGGGCACCGACCGCGGTGTCGCGGCTTCGCGGGCGTAGAATTTTGGCAGAAGCCGTTCAGCCTTGTCGGTGATGTGGTGGCTCTACGTGAAGAAATTAATATTACAATATAATTCCGAATTTACTTACTCGAGAACTCCGGCGGCAGACTTCGAATTTTCCAAAGAATATTGCAAGTTGTAGGAACAAAACAATAGATATATACATATATGTACTATGTATATAGAACGTAAAGACTTAAAGTAACAACTAAGGAATAATTAGAAAAATGATTATGAAAATATTATAAAGAAAATATAATAATAAAATAATAACGAATTAAAAGTACAGTGTTTGATATTCCCAAACAAAATTATTAACTGATAATAACGATAATAATGCCGTTCAAAATGAATAATTCTGGCTTCTACTCAATACCTCAAACAACTCAGTGATGTCGGTTCCTTTCGTGAGCCGAATCCATTCAGATCCACCCGGATGCGATTTCACGAAGGTCTCCAAGTCGTAAAGTTTGTTTCCTATTCTCCACAGACCTTCCGCACCGTCGACTTTTCTTCTAGCCTCGAGAAAGCCCGCCGCGGTTTTCAACGGATTTTCTCTCGCCGGCAGATAAGCTAATCCGGGTATCGTGCTAGTTTTTGACATGTTAAAGGTTTTTCCGACCTCACCTACATAAATAAAACACAAGAGCTTGACCGACGGCGTTACTAACTGTAGTAAACGGCGAATTTATTTATACCGCGATAATTTTTGCACATGCATGAGTAATAATGTACGTCGATTCTTATCTACCTAAACTTTCTATAAATCTTTTATTATAATTTTTTTAATTTTTCAATAGTTTTTTAATTGTTTAATAGTATTTCAATATTTTTTAACAATTTTAGCTCGCCGCGGTTTTCGACAGATTTTCTCTCGCCGGCAGATAAGCCAAGTCGAGTATTATGCTAGTTTTCAATATGTTAATGGTTTTTCCGACCTCACTTACGTAAATAAAACACAAGAGCTTGCCCGACCGAAGCGAATGGCGTTACTGACCGTAGTGAACGGAAAATTTATTTATACCGCGATAATTTTTGCACATGCATAAGTAGGGAAGACCGGGGCTCGTTGGCACAAGAGGCAAGTTGGCACTGCGTTCCGTTTATGTATTTATGATTGAAGAAACAATGAAAAAGTTACAGTAAAATATCTCTTTTATAACATAGGCTCATGTCTCTAAGTTGCATTTAAATCAAACAAGTAA